GGCAGTAACCTTCCGATTATCACTACTTTAGTCGGTGATCGTACATAAGCATTTTATGGAATGGCAACATTTAAAAGGTCCAGCTTGTTTTCAAAAACGACATAGGGAAAAAAGTACAAGTCTTCCACATTACGGACTCGCTATTCGATACTAAAAAGTACATTGAATATACACAATGGGATAAATATTGAAACTTAGTATTGCAAAAATGAGTGTGGTACGTAAGCTGTTTTACATTGAGCGAGGACTTGTGAAAATGTAATCAAATTAATTTTAGAGGTGTAAATGGATAAAATTCCGCGTTCTACAAAATAGGAACCACCCTTATGTACCAATACCTAGCCTTTGGGAATTAAAACTCTAAACATTCTTTAGCGGATGACGCCAAATAAAATGCTGTTGCGTTTTATGGAAAATGTATATTTATAGTATGTACAAAATGGTAACCGAGGTGCACACGGCGAGCTCTGTCGTTGGGGTGAGCCAAGATGCAGGTCTTCTGACTGATGGACTGTGGCGCGAGGTCGAGCTGGCAAGGCGACCTGGTTCTGCAGGTGGAGAGCTTTTTGTTTCTTGAAGTGCAGTCGAAGCAGAAACTGCGTTGCACTTTGCAGAGTTCGTGGCTCTGCTTTTAAACGTTTGCGGCCAGGGACGCTACGCTTTCATCGGTTGGCCGTTTTGACCAATGAGGGCGCAGCACATTTTAGTTTGCTGCCGGATGTGAAACATTTTCTTACCCATTCTTTAAGAACGGTAGGGTCCTTGGGAAACGTAAAAACCGAGATTTTATTTACACCAGGATGAGGAATTTTAGTGTTACCGCCACTCATCTAAAAAAAATACTTAATTATAACATACAAAAGTGCATATAATTGATGAACTAACCTTTCAATCACGGCTATGAAAAGCCACAAAATTCACAAACTAAATGTCTTTATATTGCACCAAACAAGTATCTACAGCTAAAATATGTCCTTATGCACTTCAAAACTCAACAAATTTTAAACAAATAAACTATAACTCAAGAAAAATAAGCACTCGCGCGACTACAAACAACGTTGAACGTCAATGTCTGAATTCTCGATGACGTATACATTGCGCCCCTCCCGCTTCCGCCCACATAGTTACCAGGTAACCTTTGAAATAAAATAACCTTGGTTCTGAGCGCCGTCATACAATTTCATGCTGGTAGGTCCATCGTGTTGGGACCATACATATTATTATTAACGAACTACTAGCGAGTTTATAATTTTGCGGTGTCTGTCCGTCTGTCCGTCCGTTAGCACGATAACTCATAAACGAATGAACCGATTACGATGAAATTTTGCAGGTGGATTCTTCATCAAATTTGTAGATCGGAGTTCGTGAATTGGCAATGTAGCCCAAAAAATAAGGAAGGCCCTTCTGACATCTCCGTGAGTTATGAACCGAATTGCATGAAATTCAATATGCGTATAGCTTTAGCCATATAAAACGCAATTCCAAAAATTGAGCCTAATCGATCAACATTCACAGTGCCCTTTTCGCATCTCGGCCATTTACAAACCGGATTGCAAACTTACTTATTTATGAAGGTCTTTAAATGAAATTTGATACATATGCACTTTGAATAAAAGCAAATTTAACGCCAGTTTCCAATTTGGTTTTGCGCATGCGCAGTGCCAACTTTCTTATTTATGGAGGGATATAAAAATGACATTTGATTCACAACCACTTGGAATAAAAGCAAATATAACGCACTGGAGTACTAGAAATAAAATTATGTTTCTCGAGGGCATTCTACAACGTTTGGGAACATTGTATTTAATCCGAAATTGTCCTGCACTCCGATACACCGAGTGGTGAAATGTCGTAACCCAACAAACGCGTTGTTGCACCAACCACGAATTCATTGCGACCACGATAGGTGTGAGTGTCATAGACATCTTTAGTACTGAGAATAAGGAGTGTATCGTGTTGCGACTAACACTAAATGTTGCCAATCGTGGCACAATTCTGTTAGGGTACCAGAATTTCATCTTTCGTAGCAGGGTGGCAGAATTGCCGCTGCTTGTAGCAGAATCTAAGAAGTATTTCGTTCTAGAGGGTTTAACGCCTAAATCTACCGTATGCCTTCGAATCGACTTTACAAGAGAAAAATCTTTTTTACTTTTTGAGAAAAATGCATTCTTCATAAAAGTGTTTCCTTGTTCTAAAAAGGTTATTCCGGTTTATACTTTTCAAATTTCCTTACCGTTTCAGAGAAATGCAAAAATACGAACATACGGTTGAATTTGAAGTTCAAAAAGTTAAAACGCGTCTGGACGGTAACTATAGCATTGCCTTTTCCATAGCATTGAACTACATACATTTTGTGCTCCTTTAACAATTTAACACAGCCCAAAAATACGGTTTGATTAAAATTAATAATAATCATCGATCAAACCAATAAATAATGAAAACGAAATTATTATTACCATTTGATCAAACCAATCTTTGAGAAATCTGAGTGTAAATTGTCAATTCATGGATCATAGCAGAAAATCCGGTCCTGTAGCAGAAAAATAGCAAGGAGGTGGCAAAATCGTTCCGTAGTGGGTTGGCAACACTGCGTAACACTGATTTGCATGCCGAGCGCCTGAAGCTGCATTTTAACCCCACTACCGCGTTGCCTTTTAGTCAATGGCGTCCCAAAAATAGTCAATACCCATTGCGTCAACTTGTATAATGCAGAAAATTGATTTTTCATGAATTGTAAACGTATGCCTATCGTTTAACAAATGTAAATATGTAACTGCGCACAATGAAATGTTTCTGAGTTCAAACCCTAGTGTGGTAAATATCATGATTCATGAAGATAAGATTTTTCCGTTAAATTGATATAAGATTACTACTCGATTGTAAAAGCCTGGAACTTGGAAACCAACCTTTCGCATTATAGACCTCTTTCATTACAGGCATCTTTGATCTTGAGAACCGAAGGTCACATTAGGTTCAATGGATGCGAGTTGTTAGAGGAGGCGACACCCTGGCGAAACTTGTTCTTGAATTCATTTGAATATGCTAATACTGGAACATGATTGAGTTAAACCCCGACAATACATAATCAAAAATGACAAAGAGGCGTGACATTACACTTGATATGGTACTGGCTATGCCCACTTTGAATTTCATGCAATTCAGTTCATAAATGACCTTATGTGAAATTGAAGGGACTTGTATTTGGCTGCAATTTTGACGTTTTGTGATTAAGTACTGTATCAACCGCTGTGAATCGTAAGTTCAATATTGTGGCTTTAATTAGACAGCTTCAGCCAATTAATCTGTGAAATTTAGCAGTTATATGATGGATGCCGGCTTACCAGTTACCACACCACCAGAGCGATGAGTTAAAAAGCTCGAGGCCGATAGGCCCGAGAGTTTTTTAGTCGTCCGAGAGTATAAACATCATTTTATGCCCGTGGTACAATACAAAATTTTGTCTTACAAATAGTTTTCTTCGTCAAAGTAAATATTCATTTACAAAACAATTCATTATGTTTGATCAAGTATGCGTGGTTCAAATTTGTTAAGGTGATTGAAACCATCCAAACGTCAAACGCAATTTTAAATAATTCAGTTCATCATGAATGAGGAAGTAGTTCCAGAAACTATTCGAAATAAGGCCAATCTTGTTAGTTAGTAGGTATTGACATTTAACAATCTTCAATCTTCAATGAATGTTTGTTTTGTCATTAAGTATAAATAAGTTACTATGGTGATACTTAATGCTCTGGGGCATAAAATGGTACTTTATGCCCGCATATCACAGATATAAAATGTGCTATGATATGTTAGTAAGACATAAATAAATATTTAAATGGGTACCTAATTGTAATTTTGCGCCTAGGTCATTTTAGTGAATGACTGGTGCTATGAGAGGAAGTTCTTTATTAATTTTCAAAGGGAAAAATGTACTGGTCAGGTCATTGGAATAGACAAAATTGGAAAAATTTCATTCAAATTTGTCAGTCCAAAATATGATTCGTAACACTGCTACTAAAAACAGTGTCATGGTACCAAACGTAGAAGTTAACAACCCGTTTCTGTGATTAAAATGTTAGTTCCATAAAAAGTTACTTTGTTATATGTATAGTCACATATCTCTGTGGTATAGTCATAGAAAAAGTATAGTGTGTAACACGTGCGTGAAGGATTTTTTACACTTACTTTTTACTCCACGCTCGTGTAAAAAACCTCACTTCACGCACTTGCTGCACAATATACTATATGTTTCATTATATTTATTACTGTATAGATTTGATTAAATAATTTAAGTGATAACGTTACATCACATATGGTAACAGTTTATTTGTTTGGTAAATGTTTGTTAATGCTATATTGAAGGTGATGCTTGTAACTACGCCTAACTCTTTGACGAGGGAGTTGTAAAACACTGATCTACACACTCATATAGTTTTACCCTTTTTCGTTAAATTGAACTTTAGACATTCGGCGTTGTGTTCATATTCGCCAGTACCTTGGTTATTAAACCATGTACCTACATAATTTCAAGTTTGTAAGATACTTTAGCAAGATATAGCAGCGCAGCGAACTTTCTGGTCATTGATCATCGTATTATCGGGCGACTGTAGTCCATAGTAGAAACTTTTAAAGAGATCTCAATCAGGGTGGATTTTGATCCACATTGCATGTACTCAATATTGCAATAAAATTACAACAAAAAAACTCGCTGGACAATGCATATGTAACCTTGACCTATACTGTTAGTTTTAATTTATTTATAAGTGATGGCGAAATCGATGTAAAAATAAAATTGTTGCAGATAGCATCTACAATTCATCGCATAATATCGTGAGAAATATTTAATCAACGATAAATGATAACCATTGACGTCAAAAGCGAACTCATTCCATAGGTGTTGAAACTTTTTAAGGGGACGTAATCGATATAATCAATTAAATAAAAGAAGAGTGCTCACAGTTAATACATTTATCACAAGTACTGAATTAATATTTACGTAAATTATAAAGTCAGTCGGTGACTAACTGTTATCAAACTCGTACAGTTTACAGTTTTACCTATCATTAAAATGTTCATTAATAAAATGAATGTATTAACCCCGTTCTTTTTCGCATTAAACTATTTATAGCATTAGTGTAATTGTACGTTTTAGTGCAGTTTTAATTAAACGCGTCCAAGATGGGTGGAAAGTATTATAGTGATGTACAAATAGATTTAAAATCCCACAAACTATTAATGGAAAGTGAAAGCGAGAGGCTACCCCTCTTGGGAAACTCTACCGAAAAGTATTACGAAAAACCCTCATGTTTGTCGAATTGTAGTTCCTCGTCGCTATTTGTGGTTTATTTGTTCGGATTCTGTGTCTTTTTAATTAGTGGTGCTGCAATTTTTAGTATTTTGGAATCACCGGCCGAAGAACGTTTCGTTGAGAGACTACGGATGGCTAGGCAAAACTTCCTGGACACTCATCCTTCTGTATCTGGTATTTTCTTTTTTTAAATATTTTTTGTGTGTTTTCATAAAATTGCTATATTTACGCGGTTTACGATGGACTTCAAATTACGAGATACCTGTAGTCATTATAACGTAAACTGATAACAGTCAACTGGGTTAGATTTGCATTACTGGCGGGTCAATTAAAATTAATAATTAATTTCAGTTGCCCTCTGGCAATTTTGAGCAGCATAAGTCAATTTGATTTATTCATCATCGATCACCTAAATATGAAAGGTTCGTACATTCTCTTATAGTGACAGAATATTGATTTGCTCGTTAATATTAATGTATAGGTACTTACGTATAGGTAGGTACAATAGATTTGAGGTCGTATTGAATAATATTAGTTGTCCGTATTTCGGCCGACAGTTGTTTGAATAATTTTGGATGTTACACAATCGGAGAAGTGCTAATTACATTTCCTGCTAGCACATCATAACTCTCAGCCGCCACTGCATTGAAAATTGAAAATCGTCTTTAATTATTAATTATGGATTACGGGGATATTTGAAATAGATCGTTAATATAAGTTTAAGAACAATTCTCCCTCAAATCAATTTCTTTTTCTTCGATTATGTACTCTGGTTCCGGAAAATGATAAACAAATAGTATCCGATGCAGATGCAGCACTACATTCTCTAAAAAAACATTACCCCATAGACGCTTTTTCTTGCATCGCCGTCGGTTAGTTGAAACAGAATTAAATATCAAAATCGTTCGACGTCAAACAACGATAACTTAAATGCGATGCGCTTCTAGTTTGTTGAAAGATTCCAAAGCACCACTGATTTATAAAAATGTAATTTTTTATTATGTCGATTTCTACGGTTTTGAAAAATGGAAAATATTAACTAATAGTATGAACAGATTCAGTATTTTTTTTCTCTAAAAGAAACGTATTTAGACTTTTGCTCTAAAATAATTAGGGGAGCTAGTAATTGACTATACAGAAATTACCATTGAAATCCCTATGCTGCGTCGCGCTAGCCACCACACTCTTTGGGGCGGATGATAAAAACGCTAAAAAAAGTGGATCATTACTGTTCTGTTCTTGGTGTTATTAATTGTTACCTTAACGGGCACCAGAGCAACATTTGTTACATGTATACGGCTGCCTGTGTCGCTTTGCAAAATGCACTCTTTTTTGAAGGTGCACATTGCACAACTGCCCCAAAAGGTAAAAGACGATAATAGGATAGAAACTAGAGATAAGAAAGAACTCACTCCATCAAGTCCTGCTATACAATAATCGTACATGGTGTACCAATAATTACCAAATTAAATCTGTAACCACTTTAAAAATAATCATACCTACTTGTGATACAATGTTAAAAATCTCCACGGCCCAATAAAATTTTTTTAGTTGGAGTAGGTGGGGCTTAGGGGTTTCATGTGGGCGAGTTGTTTCTTACGTCATTTTAAGTCATCTGTGGTTTACTACATATAGCTTATTGTATGTTTAGAAATGGTCACTGTATTACACAACTACAAAAATGAATGCCGATCTGTGCAATTTAAATAGAAATAGTCGCATGGGCACAGATTTATACACTAATATCTGCGACACAGGTACCGTACAAATAGCCAGTGGCGTACTCGGTGGCGTAGCAATGGGAATTGCATCCTCGTGTGGCTGTGGAAATCAATTTTGTTAATCAACTCATGTTCCATCCACAAAATTGTGAGATCTTAAAATCTCACGTCATCATTTTTCCACTTTTTTTAGTTCATTTAAGTTGGAAACCCTTGTACCACATTCACTCCAAGAATCAAGGTCTAGGCTCGGGTCTAGGTGCGAAAGTGTGATTTGGACAGGGTGACTAATTTTCACAGCATTGAGATCTTGATCATTCCGAAAGAAACTTAGCAGTGCGCAGTGTGCGAGGTGTTTGCCTTTACCACAAGAATCACATTGCGTAGTGGGCGCATCTCATTTTTACAATTTGCTTGTCTGTTTTCACGAGTTTTTAGTCTAAGTAGCCATGGACTATGTTTTTCTTTTATCATAGTCCATGGCTACTTAGACTAAAAACTCGTGAAAACAGAATCTTTATAATTGATTTTTTCGCGTATAAGAAGAGGTAGAATAATCGTTTCACATGATTTAGATGCAGAATTTAATCTCTATAACTTTTATTTGAAGTATTTTTGCGTAAAATAATTAGGAAACGTTTGCGCAAAGAAAAAGTAATTTCCCATGTGAAACGCCAATGTTGCACTTTTCGATTTACACCCTGTACAAAATGATTTCCAATGGTATAAATATAAATTATAATTGTACAGGTACAGGTACAAGTATCAATAAATGCCAAATTCAATATTTAACAATTCTATAAACATACCCTACCTGTGATTTATTTATTTATTTATTTATTATCCCTCTCTTGTTCTGGGCCTAATTACAGAGTGACCCGCATAATGCTTTTTAGAGGTGCCTCTGCAGAAGGTCTTAAGTTGTTCTATACTACTCCGGTATTTACCTTACGAATTAGGAAAACTGCAGGAAAACCTAATTGGGAGTAGCCGGCAGAATGTTCGAAACTGGTCTAAAGTAATTCCCATTTTTACCACAGATGAAAAATTCAACCCAGGTTCGAACACCCGACCTCCGGATTTATAGTCCAAGGCTCTACCACTGAACCATAAAGCCGGCTTTATATAAGTTAATCAGCTAGAGGGGATCTTTGCCTTTTGCATCTTTTATCTTTGGTATTTTAACCGAAACGTAAAATCTTTTTGCTAGTCTTAAGTACATTAATTTATCGAGCTAATTTTTACGAAACCGTACCGCCCAAAGTTATAAAGCAAACGATATTTCTCTCTGCTTTCTGTTCTTTCGCATGCTACTTTTTGTAAGCACCGCAGTAAGTACCTATACCTATATAGGTATATAGATCGAGGTCCACCATACCTACCGTTTCTGAGCTATTTCATCTGATCCAACATCTCAAAGCACCGTATCTTCGGAAGCAATTGCCATAGTAAGTTTCCGGATGAGATAGGTTCAAATAAGTAGCTCTTTGTTAATCCCAATTCTTTGTGATACAATGTTAAAAAGCATTAAGGGCACATAATACCTTATTTTCAATGAGAAGTGCCCGTAAATACAATTTGTAAAAAACTTTAATTTGCCGTTTTGACAACTCAATTTGTAAAACTAAAAATGGTAAAAACTAAATTATGAACAGTAGGGAACGCACCGCCGCGCCGCTCACTTGCTTCTCATCGCTCAAATAGGACGGAGGGTTAAAAGCCTGACAGCGTTCGCTGCTTCATTATTGTTTGCTGTATGAACTATTTTATTTCATTTTTTGTTTTTTGGTACTCTCGGACTATCTTGTGTTATGGATATACAATACCTACGTCTACTACGAGGTCTACTACCTCGCAGCAATTCGTTCAAATGTGAATAGAAACACTTCCAACTGTGAAATTTTCATTTAGTTGCCCCCAAGTGTAGGGTTGCCAGATCTCCTATGTTGAGTTTTATAGTTTTTAAATGAATTATCTACTGTAATTGAAACATAGGATACTGTGGCCTATAGAAACACGAAAAAAGTAAATAACAGTAACTTAGATCGTCGTTAATATTTTTTTTATACTTTAAATAAAACCCCCATCTTTTTCAATAATCTGTGATGCCATGGAATTTGATAATACAAAAACTACGCCAATATCGGTCATGCCATGGAATGTCTGCTATAAAACAAATCCAATTTTATGATAATAGTACATTATATATCAAGGTAGAGAAGTCCATTATTATTGCCTGAGCACCAAGATTACGTCTCGAGGCGCTTGCGCCGAGGGGTGTAAGGTGCGAAGGCAATAATAGACTTCTCTACCGTGGTATATATACTATTTTTGTCACTACTGGCACTTGAAATCCTCTAAATTAACATATATTGATAAGAGAGTTAACGGTTGGACAGAATTGTTTGTTTCTTAATTTAACTTGTCAATCAAGTACGTGGAAGTACAAGTCAAACAGGCCGTATTTTGTTCTGTCATTGAGATTTTTCAAAGAGTAATTTCGTTCGAATTTTTTCAAAATATGATAATTTTAGGTATGTAATTTCTCTGGAAATTGCGAATGGTGGCAATTATTCGTTTTAGAGAACTTGTCTAAACGTTTATTGAGCGAAATTTCGGGTTGTGTTTTCTAAAAGTGACAGCGTGACAGTTCTCATTATTGACTACTAGTTAATAATAAAAAATTATTAACCACTTTGAACAAATGCCGAGAAAGCCTACTTTACAAGTGGAAAAAAGGTTAATAATCATGTCATCAGACGCTAGTAGTGAAAAATGTATTATAACGGGCGATCCAAAATGAGTTGCTGTCGAGTCGCCTTTGGAAGTTCAAGTTAAATACGATTTCTATGTAAACAAAAGTTCCAAAGGTGACTCGACAGCAACTCATTTTTGATCGCACAGTGTTTAGAACAGCGAATTCAACATAAAGAAAGGCCAAATTACTAAAAACGGTTTCCTAATATAACAATTAACACTAAATGTTCGAATAAGTCTCCACTCGCTTCCGAAATCTATACCTACGCTTGAAGTCGCAAAAAAACTACCCTACATATGTATTCATTAAAATTAAATTCCATATGTCAATATTCTAATGATCTAGAGTTAATAGGGTTATCAAATATCTGGCATCCCTACTCAAATGATAGGTATGAATTATCATGAATTACTTTCAACATTCCTATATTGAATCTTATCAATGATAGGTAGTTAAAATACGAATGTTAAAAATGTCAATAAATGCACATGGAAAGGTGCGTTGAAAATTAGCAGATCCCAATGAACTATCTAACCTTTCACTTGATTGATGATAACCTTATGCTTTTTTAGTCGTCAACTTCGATTCGCATGCATGTGACGTTGACACTGATTAGATCGTGACTCAGTTGATGAAATATTAAACAAAAATTGTTTTCTTTTTCACACGTGCTATAATAATGAGACATGATTAATTGGTTTATTTTATTCTTTGACCGTGTAATAAAAAGGGCAATGTTGTTTTAAGGTAACAACCGACACCGACCAACTAAAATTTACAAAAGAACGAATTTAGTCTTTTTTCCTTCACTGGCTTCACTTGAGGTAATTTATGAAATTGAGAAGAAAAAAAAGGAAGGGAAACATGACGTAACGCAACTTACAAGATGTCCAACTGCCGACCAAGACTTCTTGGGCAAATCAACTGGTGAGTCCAATAAATTCCCGTCGGCGTTATATCAGAATTTTGCGTCGATATTTTGGACATTCGGCGTTTTGTCGACACGTGTATTACAAATGACGAAAAATAAGTCAGTACAATTGACTTGGCTGGTGAAAGGCCTGCCCAAAATAGTCGGCGGGGTGTGTTTCTGCCATACGTAAGTACTACCTACACTTTACCTGAAAATAAAAATTCCATTGCGGATAAATTCTTTCGTCTAAAACAAGGTAAACAATCGTAGGTACTTATTCTAACTGCACCCAATCTCGAAAGTAAATGATGAACCATGAACGCTTTTCTTATGTAGGTAGGTATATTTTACTTCAATTTAATTAGCCTTGACATCTTCCTCACTTTACAACGCAACAAGATAATTTTCTCAATTCCTAGATAAGTTTGAACGAATCGGAAAGCGGAGTAGGTAACAATTAAATCTTATGTTAATTTTAATTCTAAACTAGAAATAATAGTGAAAACAAAAACATATTGACGTAAAGGTTTGATTGTAATAATCTGTGTAGGTAAGTGATTGATAAACTGTTGGAAAAAATACGCTAGATAATATCGAACAAATTTAAAAATAGTGTTTTCTATCTAAATACGATATAAATTGCCGGTGGAGCTTCTTCGAGTAAATTTTTCCAAGCAAATAAGATAAACATATCATATGAATTGGTAAAAAAAGATACCTAATCATTGAAAGGTTTGAAGTTTTGGGATGTCCCTTTATTATTAATTTTGGTTCAGGAAAAACTTCTAGTATCTGATTATCTTATGAATATAAGAAACATCATCTTCCTTGCCTCACTTAAATGTACTACGATTATACAATCAGGTAATTATTGGAAAAAGGCTACTTGGATTTCACCACCTTGAAAATCTATTTGACAGAAACTTTTTTGTTAACACTTTTTAGTGCTAGTATTTACCTAATATTTTTAGACACGAATTTTTTTGCAAAAAATTATCTTGAAGCATTTCGAAATTTTTATACCTTTAAATATAATATTTAAAGAACCAAAAAATCAACAAGTCAGATTGTTGAGTTGGGTTTTACACTTCGCCAGGCGCTTGTCAAGCTTGAAACAATCATTGTTTTAGATGACGAAAAGTATTTCACTTTCAGTAATTCTGAAATGAAGCGAAACGAAACGATGGATTTTTACGGATAACGTGGAGGAATGCCCTAACAATAACAATGGTAGATACAAACAAAGCGAAATTTGCAGATAAAATCCTTGTCTGGTGCGCAATTTCTAACAGGGCTGTAACCCAACCTTTTGTGGGAAGAGTGGGGGGTGAAGCTTTGCATAGTCAGAGCTATATAACTGCCTTTCCAAATTCTAGCGGCTTAGTTACATTTATAAGGGTTGGAAACCCCACCATTTGTATAAAATGAATTTCAACCTCTACGCAACGGTAAAAATTTTACTGTAATTTTTTGGTAACGAAATAGATAATACCACGGCTAGCTCAGTAATGATGACTCTTAACTTGCGATAAGTTAGTTCTTTATTTCCTGCACTTATACTCTGAAAATTAAAACTCGATGCTCGAGTTTGATCATTGAAATAAATACTTACGTCAATTAAAGTGCTTGAATATATTAATGGTAATATCGTTCCAACTCCACTCTCCTTTACATCGTCTGTGGTATTTTGACTCTTATTCGCTTGTACACTCGTTGCTTACCGGAAAGCTGATTCTCTCACATAACATTTTCTATACCGGCAATTTTGTAAAATTTAAAACCAAAGTTTGTTAAGCCCAAAGCGACCACCAGATCTAGCTAATAAGATAGTCCAGTCGAATTACGGTTTGGGCTGGATGTTGTCATGTCACTCAATGAAACCAAGTGTATTCTATGTAAAAAAAAAATCCACTGAATCCGAAAATCATACCTAGTCCCCCTGGCCGGAAACTCCCGGAACATATTGTTATAAATAAAAAACGAAGAAAAAACGGAAAAATGACGTTTCTTTTCGCATTTGACTTTAATTATTTCGTTAAACTATTGCTCTGAGCGAAAAAATGAATGATCCAGGAGATGCGTATGATTCTAATAAAAAATCTCCATGGCTGTTTGCTTCTTTGATAGACGATAGTTCTTGGAATTCTCCTTCCCTTTTTTTCTTATTTGACGTTGTTCTTTGGGAGTCATGTCTTCAACGCTTACTTTAGATTTAAATAAAACCCAAAGGGGCCTCGTACTTCAATATTTCCTCGCCAGCAATGTGTCATTTTCCTGACTTATGTAAATAACTTTTTCCTATACGTCAAATTAATTTTCATTTTAATTAAAGTAGAAACACGGTCCTACCTCTCATGTATGGAAGTATGTAATTACATGACCCATAATTATTAATTTCCTCCACTTTATGGAGACTAATTGCTTATATTGATTAAGTACTTCGAAAGTAAACATCCTGAAAATAGCATTTACCTTAGACACACTGTTGTGAGAGTTTCAGTTTATAATGAAATTTTCCTATTACCTTGCAGGTATACAACCGTAACACCAAAATTGCGTTTCCCTTTATTATCGATGATGATTCAATTACCAAGTTCAATGAATTAGTTTCCGCATTATGAACTATTGAAAATAGTAAGTGATTTCGTTTCATTAAACAGTATAAAGCGTGGATTAAATATAGATAGTGGACTTCCTTGGGCTAAAAATTGACTACTTCATTTTTCAAAATTCTTCTAGGTAAATTAAAATATGTACGGGGAGATACTTTTAGGAAAAATTTTTTATGTCCACCTTCAGTGTTGAAACTGTCTTGACTTGCTTGTGGGAAATGTGTTTTAAGCTTGGAGAAATGGGCGAAGGTCGTTGTTCCGCGCCACTTTTGGTCAAAACTATGTTCTTGGTTACCGTTCAATTGTTCGCGGAGGCCCGGACCATGGGCGAAGGGACTTTGGCACATTTGTGTGTAGCAGATCACTATTATATTAGCTAGTTTTGACTCTGTAGGCGGAAACAAAATCAATTTTGACTTTAAAGTTTTGGCTATACATACAGTTGTTTTGCGTTGTTGTTGACTAAAAATCGGTAAAGGGAGTTTCGTTCAACAGAATTTTATTTCATGTGCAAAAGAACGAGTATGTATCTGAATTGCTCAACGGCAGAAGTAAATCTTTGCTCATTTGAAAAAATTACTAAGTTTAATACATTCTTACGGTCAAAGGTGAAAAAAGTATGAGAAATAAAAATAAGGGATGATTTTGTACCGTGTCTGAGGTATCTTGTCGGTCTATATTCAAGTGTTCTTTATGCAGATAATTCTCAATTGCAACTTTATCATTTTGATTGTGTGAAGTTATTCAAGATTGCTCAAATCTCTAATGCGATCTAGATAACGTTGTTAATCTTTTCAGAAGTACAATGCTGGATAGAAACAAAACCTCTTTATAGATAGGTAGTGGATATATAAATCTTTCGATGTTACTAAGTTTTCTAATTATAACGTTTACACACAAACTTCAATTTTTCTTTTATTTTTTATCTTTTGAGAAAATTTTAATTCCGAACGTAGCCAAGCCGAGTGCATTTATTTATATTTCAATCATATGGTATAATTTGAAGATCCTTTTACGACAATAAACGAATCTAATTCTGCTGATGGATCGTTTAGTTAATAGTGATAAACACCTACGCAGTGTGACCATCTTCAACATTCCGTTTCCTTTCGTCGTTACGCTACATTGTTACGGTTAAATTATAAAATTGTGTTATACATGCACCCTTTCGATACATTTTACCGTTACCTTGTCTTTGTTTCTATCTGATTTATAAATAAAAAAGTAGGTAACTACTGTTTTGGTTTCAGATGATGCGCTAGAATCACTGATCACGGAAATTGTACTCGCCAGTAACAGAGGCGTTTCAGCTACAAGAAACGCTTCAGGAACACCAAACTGGAGTTTCGGTCAATCATTATTTTTTTCTAGCACCGTTATTACTACAATAGGTAAATATGCGTTAAATAAGCGGTCCGAACTCCTAAAAATTGCTAAAACATTACCTTTGATGGCACGCAAACTTTCAAAATTTCTATCATGATCATGATCAATTTATTTTTAGTTTGTTTATAAATTAATTGTTTCAGGTTATGGACACGTAACACCGTTAAGTAGAAGTGGAAAAATATTTTGTGTATTATATGCAACTATTGGAATACCATTAACGTTGGTTCTTCTGTCTGCTTTAGTAGAACGATTACTTGTACCGACCGTATGGTTTCTACAATTTTTAAACTCAAGACTGGGACATCTTTACCAACCCCTTAATATTAGACTTTTTCATCTTTTTATAATAGGTAAGTATGGATGTGGAGCAATGTTACCGTTTGCGACCTTTACCTTACAACGTCGAGAACCGCCAAAATTAGTGATCATCACTCACCAGTCACCAGATTCTTTAACTGTAGCACTGTCTAAATGGGGAAGTACAGTTAGTTACAAAGATGGGTGGCACGTCTTTGAATAGGTTTTCGGGCATGACCTATCCGCTTTTGAAATTTTTTTTTTCATAATTCTTACCACGAGAGGGCGCACCCCTACTTGGGGGTGCGAAAAAAAATTCTGATTTCGACGAAATTTGGTATCTGGGGGTTTTTATAAATTAATTGTTTCAGGTTATGGACACGTAACACCGTTAAGTAGAAGTGGAAAAATATTTTGTGTATTATATGCAACTATTGGAATACCATTAACGTTGGTTCTTCTGTCTGCTTTAGTAGAACGATTACTTGTACCGACCGTATGGTTTCTACAATTTTTAAACTCAAGACTGGGACATCTTTACCAACCCCTTAATATTAGACTTTTTCATCTTTTTATAATAGGTAAGTATGGATGTGGAGCAATGTTACCGTTACGACAACTTACCTCCTCTACCTTTTTAATAATGCGACCTTTACCTTACAACGTCGAGAACCGCCAAAATTAGTGATCATCACTCACCAGTCACCAGATTCTTTAACTGTAGCACTGTCTAAATGGGGAAGTACAGTTAGTTACAAAGATGGGTGGCACGTCTTTGAATAGGTTTTCGGGCATGACCTATCCGCTTTTGAAATTTTTTTTTTCATAATTCTTACCACGAGAGGGCGCACCCCTACTTGGGGGTGCGAAAAAAAATTCTGATTTCGACGAAATTTGGTATCTGGGGGTTTTTGAACATGATGAGAATGACGAATCGGGAATTAGTTTTTAAAAATTCGAAAAAAAAAGTTCTACTGCAATTCTTGGCCGGACAACGAAAATGGAGAGAATTCCACGAATTTTGTTGTGTGCATACTTGATGAGTTAAGGAACAAAATTGTCGAACAGTTTTTTAAAATCACTTTTCAAACGAAAGTTATACTCATTTGAAGATTGGGCCTTCGGATTACAAAGTGTCCCCAGCCTACTAGTGAGGGATCTAATTTCACATGTAGTTAATTGAAAATGAAAAAATAACGATTTTAATCGATATTATGATTAAATCATAAAAAATTCGATATGTCGATCGTGGTATTCAACTCTGCAAATTCGATACTAAAAATTCCATGGCTGCGGGTGGTGGGAAAATGCTTTTTAAGTAGAGTTCAATTACAATCAATAAGCATTATTACAAGTATCGTAATATCGACGTTATTTTTTTGTTATTTGCAACATTTTCAATTAACTACATGTGATCTCTCACTAGTAGGCTGGGGACACTTTGTAACCCGAAGGCCCAATCTTCAAATGAGTATAACTTTCGTTTGAAAAGTGATTTTAAAAAACTGTTCGACAATTTTGTTCCTTAACTCATCAAGTATGCACACAACAAAATTCGTGGAATTCTCTCCATTTTCGTTGTCCGGCCAAGAATTGCAGTAGAACTTTTTTTTTCGAATTTTTAAAAACTAATTCCCGATTCGTCATTCTCATCATGTTCAAAAACTCCCAGATACCAAATTTCGTCGAAATCAGAATTTTTTTCGCACCCCCAAGTAGGGGTGCGTCCTCTCGTGGTAAGAATTATGAAAAAAAAATTTCAAAAGCGGATAGGGCATACCCGAAAACCTATTCAAAGACGTACCACCCATCTTTGTAACTCTTATGGTTGCTGAGAAAAAAATGAAAGAAGTCCAAATTTCACCACTCCTTTGGGGGTAGCTTCCTAGCGAAACAGGTTGGACCCGCGGTTTATTTGGAAAAAGTGCTTGTCCTGATCTCCTATATCACCCAATTTTTTTTACATGCGGTCAGGTAACACCCTATATTATAAACACATTATTCCCTTGTGTAAATCTACCGTTTGTTACGCAATATCGCAATGTCCTATTGTTCAACCCCGTTAGACCTCAACTCAAGTGCATCTGTTCTTTATTCAGTATCCAGCATTGTATTGGTAGCTACTATATTTTCCTAGGAATGCATAGCCCCTATACGATCCAACACCAGTGTTGATATCCACATTTTTCGCCATATATCCACCTCAAAAATGCAAACTGTTTTGATTACTTAATTTCCTCAGTGTACTGCCCCGGTTTATTTAGAAGTGAAGCAAACGCCCGAATTACTCACAAGTTTGTTTAATCAAATAATTAACTTATCACTACACTAAAGTTCACTACATGTACTATTCTCTACTAGAAAGTCCAACTGATAATATTAATATTTATATCCTCTACGTATACTTACTCTAGTTTAAACACAAGATTCATTGATTTATATAATCAGAACAGGATCAATACTTTGTTACGTCCTGGCCAAATATTATCCCTCTCCCCCTAATTAATACCATTGATTCATTGAATAAAAATATAGTTTTTATGCAATGCTAATACGAAAATAATCCAGAGCAAAATCGTTGGTTGTCACAACATGTAGCAACATCTATGTTTGTATTAATTGGGTTTATTAAACCACAAAATATGATTTTTTCTTTTCCTCGTTTTTCAGATATTCCAGAGTAAGCAGTTTGTTCGAATTCGCATGATTTTTAAGTTCATATTCCTATGATTATTATTAATACTCTTCTGTGTCTTTGAATTATTCCGATTCTGGATCTTCTGATCATTCCTCATATTCATATGATTCGTTATATTTTCATTTTTAAATTTTGTGGTATTTTAATGATTTTTCGCATTCTATCGTTTCTTCGAATTCATGCAATTTTTCCTATTCTTCTGTTACTCTGGATTGTTCCATTTCTTCGAATTCTTCCAATTTCTTTACATTCTGCGGACTACTTTCAATCCTGTATGCTACCGGATTGTTTAGATTGTTCAGATTATTTTGATTTCTTGGACCCTTTCGGTCATATTTTTCCATTTCTTAAAACAAATAAAGATCTGGCTATCACATTAACTAATTTGAATAGGTACTGTTTGTTTGGTTTCCGTATTTTTATTTTCTTTCGTGTGTGATGTATTCAACTGAAGAAAAAGTTGATATGTCAATTGGTAGGTATAGTGCCGGTAAGAGTTCGAGGAGCGCAAAGATTTATGTTCTGTTAAGCCAAAGCAACAATATTCAAATCAATTAATATGACAGCCAGATGTTTATTTATTTTAAAAAATCATTTTGGATGCATAAAATTAGCCGCCCTTCAGAAGAGATTTTGTCTCGTAAAAGTGGACATAGGGCAAACAATGCACATAAATTCCTATAACCACTTCTTAATAAATATCACTGTATACAATACGTAGGTAACTGAATTTTCTTCACGCGGAGGGCGGGACAATGTATCAGCGATAACACCTTCCGGGGGGTACACTATACTGAAGGTCAATCGTTCCGCGGAATTGTTTTGCATTGACATTACATTCATTCCCATCGATTGATTGTCATTGTCTCTCCTTATAGGACATAGGGTTCCCCAAGTCCAAGGGACGTTAAAACTCTGTATAACTGGGCGCCGGCGATGCTGGGTTTTGAATCCGTGTCAAGACTGTCGAAATGGGATTCGTAACAGATAGCTCTTGTTCCGCAGCAGTAGAAAGCAAGGGAGAAAAGTTCACCATATGAAAAGTCATCATTGACGATGCAGAAGGCGCTTGGGCGCTAGTGCCGTATGGGGGGCAGCTGCTCCAAATGGAGCCGGGATTGCCACATCTAAAACAGTTTGTGAGCATTAGTCGAGGGCTTGTAGTAGGTACCACTTGGCGCATTAGTTTCCGCGGAAGATTCAGACAGGTGGGTGCGATTCGTCAACTTCCGGCAGTCGGCTTTTTTATGGTCAATGACGATAATATTCGCATTTTGGTCGCATCTTGGCTGGCTTGTCGGTAGGGGTCGCTGTCCGAGTAGCGGTGGCGGAAGATTCAGGTTTCAGAAGAACGAGCCTTGTTAAATAAGCATCGCGAAATCTTCGACTTGTTCGCGTGGTGAACGTTCCCTAATGCGTAGATTAAGAAGTCTGTGGATCATATTCAGCTTATGTATCTTCTGCAATTCGAAACCTTTTGGTATAGGCGAATAAAAGATTTGTATCCAAAACTTCATTTTCTTTCCAAATATGTAGTAATATAATATGCTAGGTAATGGCTAGGTATTCCATTAAAAAAATAGTAGTTTGTTAAATATCTGGATAAGCTGATTCTAAATTGTTATCGCATTTGATAATTGTATTCCTTAGAAAAGACGTTTTATATTATCTAGCTTTGCCATCCCCGTAGCTCCAATAATAAGAAAGGTAGCAGTACGACTATAAACGATAAAGAGATGTTTTAACCATTGAGTGAATTAACTTTCATTTTATAGCAGAAGTCAGAGAAATCATTATAAAACTTCTGTAGGTATTTAATTTACATGTCCAAAATAGCAAGTTTAGGTTCTCTCGCCGTTTGCATCTAAACAATATTGTATTATGTTCTGAACTTTATTTTATATCGTGCTCCATTTCCCTTTTAAATATAATATATAGAAGTAGGAAGGTCTAGTATGTCTGAGCACCACTATTATATTCCGAAACGTTTACCTTGACTCGACAATTAACTTAAAGTGATAAACATCTACCCAGTGTGACCTTATTCATTATCCTTTCGCAAATATCCTTTTCTATTTCTTATGCTGTTAGTTGTACAATACTACAATACCTACATAATAAAACATCACAAACACTTATTTGGTTACCTTATAAATTCAAAAATCACAAGATTTTGGCTATATCGAGGTATTAGTAACTAGATGTTGCGTAATTATATTCTTACATTTTGTATATTGTACTTAAAATTATAAATATAATCATTTTTCTTTGTTTGCAGTGTGCTTTTTCCTGATATTCTTCTTACTAGTCCCTGCAGCTATTTTTGCCACCTGCGAACCGGAGTGGGACTACTTAGATTCATTCTATTATTGTTTCATCTCTCTAACAACAATCGGACTGGGAGATTACATACCCGGAGATTCTCTCGATCAACCAAATCGTCCAATATACAAAATAGCGACTGCTGGTATGTACTCCTCAACTGTACTATGATAAATTATCTAATAATTGTATGCTTCTGCAGCCTACCTATTTATCGGAATAACGTTTATGATGTTAACGTTAGCCGTCTTTTATGACATTCCACAGTTAAATTTGGGGATGTTATTTTCAACTTCAAACGATGTCAATTCAGAAAAAGTGCGTTTAGCCGGATCGTCCACGGGGTCACAGTACGGAGCTGGAGGTCTGTATAATTCCACAATAGAGGAAAATACACACAGGCACGTTGTTCGGGTACGTTCACGTCGCGATGACAGTCCAAGTCCTGAAGAATCCGCTCCTAAAGAGCTTAGGCTTCCTTAAGTGTGCACACATCTGTTGCACATAATTGCGATAACCTAATGTTTCATTACACGTTTATCGTTTTGATCTCAGATTTGTGTAATTTTATATTTCGTTGATTACATGCACAAATAAGTCCAAATTCGAAAATAGGATGTATTATTATTTACGATAGTAAAGTTTCTTGTTACTACCCAAGTATTGTTGGTAGGTAGGTAGTATCAAATGGCTATCCATTTTCTGTGTCATAACCACATGACATCACTTTTACTTATTTATTGTACTTAAAATTATAAAATAAAGTGTGCTCAAACATCAGTAGACCTAAGTTGTCGTCTTATCTATAAAAGTATTAACAATGCTTGGCAAGAAGAATTACTAATTCAGGGAATATTTTTAGAAAAGTCACAGTATTTACGAGTTCGTTTTTGGTTTAAAACAATACGCATGTTTCTCGAAAGTAATAATTTGTTTAAAACAATCGTCTTGTGCTCTTTGTGAAAAATAAAAGGAAAATATTTTCAATTTTTTTAGCTTTTTTGTAACATTACCAGAGAAACGTTGTGCTTAATGTGAGTTTATGGTGCTTTGAATCCTCACCAAATACCTAGGTAATATATTTAAGCAAAAAATAACGTATATTTTCCAAAAGTATATTATATATTTTTTTCAACCTTTACTATCAATATATCTTCTTCGTATATAGCTATACCTAGCAGATGTAATAGATGTACAAATGTCAAATTGTGTGGACCAATAAAATGTATCTCTAATGTGCACATTTAATTTTGTGTTTCGATCGTCATATCGATATTCCAATCAAAATACGTTTGGAATGCGTAACAAAGAGGGCATCTTGTATTTTATCTCAAAACCCCTGGTGCCTGAAGCTGAAAGGTGACCCTGTTAGCACAGAAATTCATAGTAGTCTGTTGTAACGGGAACCCGCTGCGCTTTAAAATAGCAAAACATCCGAGATGACGTAAGGAACATTTGCCAAACTATGGACGGCGTTGCTCTATGTTTGGTCACTAATATACACAACAGTTATTATTAATATTCAGAATCTCCGTTTGAAGATCACTTAACTAAATCAGTAACAGAATGGCGAACATTGGCATTTCGCATAAGAGAGGATCACCTTTGAAGAAATTTTACAATCCCTGAGTTTGAAGAAAAACGGCGGTTGAAAATAATTTATTTAAATAGTCTTCCTTTTGACATGACAAAAATGTGTTTAATTTAATGTTGCTGATTATGGTTCTCAGCATTCTATTGCTCGGTTTTAATTATGTTTACCTATAGTAAACATTTAAATATTTGTTGTCAAACTGTTAAGTACTACTGCAGTAAATTGTATTAAATGACATAAAGCTGATTTCTATTATTTATTTAGCTGTAACTCACAAATGATTATTTTTTTAGTTTAAAATTTGTTAAAAAGTTCTTCCATTCTGTTCCAAGCAAACTTTAATTCTTTGCAACAATTAATAAACTGGGACCAGGTCACTAGCTTTCTACAAAATAGTGATAATCATTATCTGCAAAATTAAAATAAACACACATGTTTGTATAAACAAAAGAGTGCCATATCAAAAACTAGACCACTATTATTATTCATTAGTGCACCAAATAATTTTTGAGCAGCACGTGAGACAGATGCTAAACCACTATCTATTTATTTATTATACAAAACAAATTGTGAAGGTGGCGCAAATAAATCATACCTATATAATGTATAGGATTAGGTATAGGAACGTGCCCTTACAGAAGCAGAATTTTTCTTCAAACTCCTAATAAAAAAATAGCTAGAAAATTAGACATTCTATTTAAGAAATTTACCTAAATTTTCGATGTATTTGTAAATGAACGAACGCGCTCAATCTAATTTCTATCATTTCAACTTCATGTAAGATAATATCTGTGGGTAAAAGCATTGTATTTATACCTTCAAATACAGTGGGAAAAGTTACCAAACAGTCTTGTTAAAGGATTATTGATGGCAATGAAAAAATATAAATATTTCTTTTTTTTAAGAAACTAGTAATTGTAGGTATCTAATGTATTATTTTAAAGTTTTTAGAATATAAGAACAGAGTTAGTGTCGACTTCCGGTGGAAGCGGACGTGTCGCGATCAAATATTTTCGTTCAATCGGAAAAATAGTGTTACTTTTATGTGTTGAATAAGATTCTCTTTGTCTTTACCGGTTCCCGAAAAAGATCTAACTAACACTCGTCATGAAAGGCCCTGTGTAAGCATGGTTTTCTGGAAGCGTAAAAAAATGAATTTTTTTGTTAAGATACTGAAGAAACGGTTTACGCACCATAGGTGGTAATTTCTTTAGATGGAAATATTTGTAGATTTGTAAACAAATTTTTTGTAGATTGCAAAATTCTGCGTCTATCCAGGTGCCTATTTGTAATTTTTTGTTGTGGGGAATCGAAGAAATTAAGGAAATTATAAATTAGCAATTTAGTAAAAATAACACTGATGGCTGTGAAATTATATATAATCGAGAAATTCCCTTATACCTTTCGGTGTTGGGATTACAGGTTGTTTACATATTGTCTACTTACTATTAGGTTAACAATAGGAAACAAAAATAACATAATTATGCTCTAATTCCCAAAACTCTTCCATTCACTTCTGTCTTTGGCCACTTCCTTCGCATTTTTGACTGTTTGTCCGTGAAATTATTGAAACAAAAAATTTTAAGCAAATAAATAATAAATTCTAATTTATTTATTTTTTGCGGTTTCCCTAATTGAAAAATAATAAATCAGGACATGAGCAGACGCAGAATTTTTCAAGCTACAAGAAACCTATTGACGACTTTGCTCTAAGTTATTTAAGGAAGAAAAAATTTTGTTATAAAGAAATTAGCATTGAAATACCTATATTGGTGAGTAAACCATTTTCTACACCCTATAATAATGAATTGAAGAAAATACGCCACGGACTCCCTTTACACGCCTTGTTTATCAAAAAATTTTTAATACTTTCGTAAGAAAAATGTATACTGTGCGTTGGAAAGTGAATAAAGTACTGATGAAACGGAAGACTCTAGCTAGACTCTAGTTCCAACCAAATCAAACCACTCGTTTTGAAATAGTTATACTTCTGCAACCAGTTAGAATAAGCACTATTTTTCGTAACGAGCGGATCTCTGCGGAAACAAGCAAAAACAGTTCCGCAAAAGAAAGCGAATTAGACCCGAGTTTCCATCGTCTGCATTTACAGTCGCAACACCCACGAATGGGTGTTGAAACATGTTTTAATTTTGCGTACACTTTTTTTAAATAGCTTTACTAGGTAGGTATTACAGCGTTGTTCCAGCTTTTAGGTATGGTCTGTTGTTAGAAGTGTCTTAATAGTTTTGAAATGATTAAATCTGGCGCTTCCTTTATCATTTCCGCTAAAATACAGTCATCTCCCGATGCTTTATTTTTTAACGTAGTGATTGCAAAAATTACTCTTCTTTCTAACTAACGTTTGCTATGTCAGTGAGTGTCTGCATTAGTTACCTAAGTGCATTTTTGGTAATGCAGATCAGTATTTCATTAGCAAAGTTAAAAATTATCTCACGAGTAATCTAACTCAAAATAGACTAGAGCCTGCACATCTACACTACATCAGAAAGCTTTTAGTGAAAATTTGAAGTCTCTAGCTATTGTAATTGCTGAGATCTCAGTCGGACAGCCAGCCAGCCATAACGAATATAATAGCGTATTTTTTTCCAAAAATGCGCTAACAATTTTACAAGTACACTACTCTACAAATATGTTCCTAATAAGCTTGGGTATTTTGAAACGACCAGCTATATTGCACCGGAGCATTGACCGCGACAACACCCTCTTCACATTAAGGAAATTCCCAGATTAAAAAAAAAACACTGCGGAGTGTTAGCCCGCGCGCGTCCTCGAAGGTTAAATAAAGGAGAATTGGAAAGACTGGAAGCATTCGAGACGTGGACCTGCAGGAGGTTGTTAAAAGTAAAATGGAGTGATACGGTTAGGAATGAAGAATTATTAAGAAGGGCAGGACAAGAAATACGATAACTGTTATCTAAGAAATACTAGAAAAAGGAACTGGATGGGCCACGTATTGAGGGGAATAATGGAATGTTGAAAAACGTATTAGAGGGATCGGTGGAGAAAGAATGTCGAGGGAAGCGAGAAAAAAATACAAAGGAAATGCGGCCACGGTCATCCCGGCGATCACCATCCCGGCACCGATTTCCCGGCGATAAGCCATCCCGGCGACCATTTACTTCCCGGCTTCGGTTATCCCGGCAATTTGAACTCTGAAATCGGAGGAATGGAAAACATTTAAGACGCGGTAAACATATGAAGCAAATTTAGGTTTATCATATTGAAACAATTCACTGCACTTAAGTTTTCTGATTTGCTATTTTATAGTGTGATTTTCCTTTTTAAATATAATACAATCTGAATAAGGACTATCGTTAAGAATTCTTAGTATAAGTACCTAAACTTAACGGTTTTTCTAAAACCCAGGGACGGGTGTAGGGAATGCAGTACCAGGATCGTGGGATCCCGAAATACCGGGATCCGCAGCATCTTTGCGGGATTAATCCCGCACATAAATGGAGCGGTATCCCGCGGGACTTGCGGGACTGAGGAATTTGTTGACCAAGGGGACGACTGTTTACTTTGTTAATGAAACGCATAACGGAGAAGTTATTTTTTAAATAATTGTTAAATTTTTTTCGTTAAATAGTATTATATTAAGATACAAGTGTATAATCAAGTCTTTAAAGCACGCGCAACGAGTTTAAGGGCACGACGCAAAGCGGAGTGCCTTTAACATTGCAAGTGCTTTAAAGACCAATTATACACGTGTATCTTATAGTATTTTTTATTATACCTGCAGTATAATTTAAAAATAGGAAATTCAATGAAATCATATTGACGTTATACTTTATATACGTTATAATTAAGTGGGCTGGGTGTTCGTAATTTCACGATTGCCATGGAAATGTCACTTGACGTTTGCTTATAAAAATTGTCGTCTTTGTGAATAAAACGATTTCCGTTGAAAAAGATAATACACCGTCCATTAAATCGCTTGTTGCAAAATCTAAACAGACGTTGGTAGGTGTAAAATCTCAATCCAGTAAAGCCTATTATGAAGCATATATGAAAAGTTGTTTCCATGGATGAATAGGAAGCTACTTACGAATAAAGTCTTAAATGCATCGATAATGCTGGCATATATGAAGGAAATATCAAAGGTATTTAAATCTTCTATCTTTTGGTGCATTCATTCAAAACTTCACTTATTGCTGGGACTAAAAAGTGAAACAGATTTGGAAGCATACCCTAAATTACGCGCGTTTGTAAAAGCTTCAACCAAAAGATAGGTACATACAAGCCAAAGAAATGTTCTGCATTTACAGAAAGCGATTTAGGAAGATTTTTTATTTCACTCAGATGACAGTTTCAAAAGTCATACTTGAAGTATCGTTACTTAGCAACTTTAAAGCACGTGTGTTTTAAAGGCCTTTTTTCGCACGCATTTGAGTGTTTAAAACGGAGATTGTGATTCAGGTATAATAAAAAATGTTTTATGATTTTTGAGGCACTTTAGAAGTTCACCTTTTTGTGCTTTACAGGTGAGGTTTTTTTGAGTTCTAAGTTAGGCTGAAGGTACTTTTTTGTTAAATATTGTGATAATTAGCGATTTATTTTAATACAGAAGTTAACCGCACAGAATTGCTTATTTGCCAATTTATTTAAAGTTTTGAGGGAACTCGCAAATACCGGGATCCCGCGGGATTAACATCTACCAATCCCGCAAATACCGGGATTGAGATTTTGCTGCGGGATTGCATTCCCTCGACGGGTGGTTTTCGCTACCTACCCGCATATACGGCGAGTCGGTTTTCAACACCTTTTGTATTCAGATGTAGTGTTAATTTTTTTGTTCAATTAAATGTTATAAATTCAGTTCATTTCCTTCATTTTTTATCTGGTTGAGACGCCGCAAAGTTCTACACGAATATTCTGCTTCATAAACGCGCTTTGGTTGAGACGCCGCAAAGATCTAAATTTTCGCGAATCAAGATAGTAGCAGACACTGCGACGCAGACATTGGGATGCGGGCATTAGAACGTAGGTACGTAGTTTAATCCTTTATAATAATAAATAAAGCAAGGAGCCATCAAAGTCGCGTTTTTCTCGAAAATCTCGCGCCAAATTTTCGCGAGCGGCCGGGGGCGCCCGGCCGCCCTTCCGTCGAGGAGCGACGCGTCCGGGTCACGTCCACGGTCCCGCTCCTGACTATAGGTACAGCCTGTTGAAATTGATACCATTGGCAGTGTACAGTTACAAAAGTTCAATAATAATTGACACAGTTACTTGCACGTCCTATGCGATTAAATAAGTGTAACATTGGTCCTACTGCAACTGCGAAGGTAACTGCATGACACAGCATCCCAATGTCTGCGACCTAATGTCTGCGACCTAATGTCTACCTAATGTCTTAATATAATGTCCGCGACCTAATGCGTCCAATGTCCGCGTCCGTCTGCGGCCCATATCCGTATGAAGAATCTGCCATTGCTTATCCGGAAGAATAGAGAACACAACATTGTTCCTAGGTATACAACTACTCTCAAAAAAAGCTGTAACACATTTTATCATTGTTTTTCACTCATATGGTAAAAAAAAGTTCGGTGTTCACTTTCGATACTCTTTGAAATGTAGGTTAATTTTGGATAATTCATTTTTTTTACTTGAGATTCTCAATTGCACAAAAGCAACACATTTACTACTACCGCGTCATTCCAATCACACCCTCAAAAAGTTGCCTTTGTTCGGCGCCAATTTCTTTTCGGTTTCGTCAAACAATGACTTCGCGGCCTAAGTATACAAATATCTATTATGGCCTACCAGGAAGAATGTAGTTACCATGTACTATCTTTATTAGTTAACTAGATAGCTTCTAAAATTGCAATGTAATAATATCACCGAGTTATTTAAGTACTTATTGGAATCAACAAAAATAGGCAACAGGTACTAAAGAACATTTTTAGTATGTAGTTCACAAATGAAACACTTTGGAAATAATATTTATTTTGGTAGTACAAATCTCTTAACAATTAATAGCAAACTTTAATTCTTAACACAAATCACTATTGTTGATCTATGCTCTCTCATAACAATGGAAAATTATGCAGAAAGACTACTAAGAGCTCTGGAGACTGGATATAATTAAGCTCGTAATTAAGTGTAAGGAAACCACTCTACGAGGTTTCCCACTTACCCAGTCTAGCTCTGTAGTCTGTACTGGACTGCATTTCTTTGTATTGTATCCCATTTAATACCTGCTATATTTAAATTACATGAATGATATTTCTGTAAATAAATACTTTTCTAATTAATGATACATAAATGTTAAACATTGAATAACTACGCATTATCGCTCTTCCAACTGCTTATCTCTAGCAACGACAGACTCATCAAACTTCACCATATAGGTTGTTCCCTTATGCCAATGTGCTGTAACCTTTGCAGGCTAAAAAGATATATAAATCAGACTTGTACCTCAGAAAAAGAAGTCATACAAATCCAGTTCCGGTAAGAATCGCTTCAACAATTCCAGCAATAAAAATAGCACAATTAAGACTACCTTTATCTCTAGGTACAGAAATAAACTTATTTACAAGAGGGTCTTTTTCCATTAAATAATAAGTATTTTCATCATCATTAGAATGTTCAAGTTTATCAGCTTCACGTCCAAACAGTGACTGAAAGTGAAGTGCTTACTTTGAGATGTAAACTAAATACTCACCTTCCATAACGTAGATTTCACAAACAAAAGAATATTTAACAATTTAATTTCCCTTTTTCCATTACGTTCTCGTACAAAATATAAATCAATAAGTTTAACACCAACAGTTCTGCCTAAATCGTGAAGTCTAAACAAGAGAGGAACAATATTTCTTGTTAGTTATGTTATTATCTCACCTGGTTTGAAGTTCTGGTACTGTATGCGACTTGTTTTGACAATACTGCACAATTTCGGAGAATAATAAGGCAAAACAACTCAGTGATATTTCCCCTTTTCCTCTACTTAGCGGCTTATCTAATATGCTCACCCGATTTCGATTTGTTAAACTCATTCTTTTGGAAATTTAGTTTACATTACCTATATTTAAAAAAAAGAAATTTACACTTTTAATTTTTTGATAATTGAATTAAGGTTATGTTGTTAAGTAGTAAGTAGGACGAAGTTAGTCACAAGTGAGTTCGAAAATACCCACAGTTGCCATGTTGTTAACAAGAAATGGAACTTGGGAATTTTAAATGTAGGTGTTCTCGCGCAGGATCGAAGCTTACTACCGCTACAAGTAATCTTCCAACTAAAAGCATGTCGTCAAAAGAGTTCTCCATCAAGACCTATAAGTCGCTCGTTTCTCATATCGTTATACAGCTGGGTTTGTTCCAAAAGTAAAGCTTTCCTTTCAGCTCCCTTTTTAACAACAAAGGCGTTGTGACTCGGCGCGTTATCATGTCTCCATGACATGACGACCGGATCTCTGGTCGGGCTCGGGTAACTCTTGTGATTGAGTCTTTTGAGAACTTCTTTGTAGAAGTCTGTGATGATCTTACAGCGTTTTCGATTGGCAAAACTCGTGCTGCACGAGTGCAATTTTTACGTTCCATTGGTAATTTTAGGGCAATTTTCTGTGTGATGCAACAATTACGCACTCAGTGCAAATTTCGACGCACGAGGTCCGAGATCTCGTGGAGCTAATTTTCAAAACAAAAATGTGCGACAATTTGAATTTGTTTCTTCCATTGGAGAGTTTTTTGTCGTCATCTAGCGCTAGCGAAGATTATGAACTAGCCATAACTTCTATTTTACAAAAAGTTGCACTTACTCATTAAACTGAACGCCAAAAATTGGTCTTTTACAGGAATTTCAAATTTATATTCCTCATCGTTTATCATAAATATACTGAAATCGTTTCAGTCATTTTTTAGAATAGAGATTTGTCGATTACCGAAATCTAAATGAGGTTATGGACAAACGACAACAAACATTTATGTTCCATTGAGAGCAATTTTCACATGAATTTTTTCAATTTCTCGTGCAACACTCGTGCACTACGAGTTTTGCCAATCGAAAACGCTATTAGCCTCCTACTATCTTGGTGGGCTAACGCCAACTTCAAGTCACACCGGAATATTTGACCATGTTCTGTAGTATTGGGAATGCCAAACTAACATGGCTGCCTATTTGAATATTCTCGCTTAAGTTTCCCGCGAGAATCCGTCACTCGGGGGCCACTCCGTCCGAGTGCACTAAGATCGTGATCGTCATGTAGGTACGTTGTGTAATAACTGGGTTCTCAGCAGGCACTGAGGGCGTATTATGGGTAAGGAACAACAAAAGCAATAGCTGATTAAGTTTATATTGAAGCTAATACCAAAACGGTGCCCCTACAGAGGGTCTTAAGTGGTTCTATCCTACTCCGGCATTTGAATTAGGAAAACCTAATTCGGAGTAGTCCTAATGAACAACATCTAATGTACAGCACTTTTGAGCTCTCTGGAAACCGGGGTAACTACTACAAACACGCTATGAGTAACCAAAATGGGATCGAACCATTCTCCAGGTATTACAACACATAAATCGGACAAAACTAAGAGATGTCAAATATACCTCGCCGGGCGGGAGGAGTACCCAGGTCCAGTGGAGACCCTGTAGGCCTGGGCTAAAGTTGTTGGGTTCGGAACGAGTGAAAATGTTAGTGTTAGGTTCACAAAGGCCGTATAAACTTGAATAGCTCGATCCCCTCTAAACAAGCACACTTCCCCCTTGATTACTCACAGTCCCAAATAAGCAAATCTAATGAAATGCAATGACATAATCGAGAGTGACCCAAAAGCACAATACACAAATTAAATATGTACACATGCAAGTATGTACAGCACAGATACAGCCCTACCGACAATGAAACATGATTGCCAATATCAACAAAGGTTACACATTAAAGGTACAAGTGATTGAATTCAGTAAGTACATAAGTAAAGGGTTACAATCTGCATTCAAGTTACACACATTTATAGATTGATTGAATAACGCAAATACCTCACCTGATATAACAAAGCAAAAGCACACAGCAATGATTAAGGTATCACAATATATTTCAAGACAAGCCGTACTTTACACTTCAGCCGGTTACAAGACAAAGACCATGAACACACATGTTAAATCCTATTAATTTGACCAACCCAAGCCACGCGGTAATTTGATCTGCTAATAAAACCACCCCAAAATCGCCCATTCCCTGCATTTCACGCATTTCTAAGAAAAAAGTCGACTGCAGGTGTCTGAAATTGTATTCACATGTGGTCTTCCAAGAAATTCCATCCGTTTCCTCTTCGTTCTCTTTCCCTTTTCTGTTGGCAGCTTGTGTAACTAACATGATGTATAGGGTGTTTCGTATCGACTATTCACAGGACGTTGCTAAGGTTGGGGCATCTCAAGTCTTTATTGACAGGCGACCATCGAATCTGTATATGGGCATAACAGGATTCATGAATATGCTATAGAATAGTCGATTTGAACTCGTCTCGTATTGTTAGTATCGTATGAATGCATGATTGAATTTATAACCAGGGGTGGATGGGGTCAACTTTCCCGGTGGGTCGGTAAGATCCATGAGCGCTTTGCGGCTGGCAGCATCACTCAAATGAAAACACAAAACAGGGATAGAGCCGCCACTTGCAAGGAATTAATTTAATTAATATTCGAAGGTGACGGTGCAAATAAAAAACTATCAAAGTCCTCGTGTCCATCAATAAGATCTTGTTGAAGGCTACCACATTCTCTTTGTCGGTACCCACCTCCGATGTCCCGTTCAACCGCAATTCGTATTTAGGTGGATTTTGCTAAAAACCCTCCACAAAATAGTACTCAATTTTAGGGGCACCAAAGCTGTAGAAGAAGGAAAAATCGCCACGCCACAACACGCTTCGGGATGGCTCCCAGACGTCGCCAACCGCATCATGTAGTAACTTGTTAATTACACGACGCCGGTAGCACTCCTTGTCTTCCTCCAAGCGTTTTTCTACAGATCCGCATTTGCTGCCAGCCGGCTCAAGTGAGAATAAAAGCTACCTTTGACACAAAACAAGAAAATGTAGATGATTCTGATGATTACTCTAATAATGTCGTTTGTAGGTAGTTGTCAAAACTGTTATAGTGCGATTACCAGTAGAATTTATATCAGGAAACATTATAGCGAATATTCCAGAAATTCCGAGGCGCCATGAAAGAAAAAGAATCGGCGATAAAGAGCGAAGACTTGTTTGTTAGAGAACATTCTAGAATACTCGGGAGCCTCCAGAAAACGGCGTTTGCTATATATAAGCAAATCAAATTGCGTTTCAATCATCAGTTCCAATTTCAACGCCGAAGAAATAGTTCGCGCTTATAATTACTGTTATAAATTAATCCATTTTAAGACCTGTACATTAATTAATTGATTCTTATTCTTTCGCAATTCTGAAATGTATAATTCCGATTAAGGCGAACAGATTGTGCAACAATAATCTAGAAGCATTTATGTTGTTGGGAAATAATTATCAACAATCAGTGTTAGAAAAAGCATAAATGTTTGAAATTAGGGCGCATTGAGTACCCCCTCCCCCACCCGCTAAGTGGACCGATAGTCAAGTATATTTCACGGACTGGTTTATGGTTCCCCATCCACCCCTGTTTATAACTATTATAAATTCAATGCTATCGTATCGAATATTTCTCCTTTCAGAGATACAGACTATAGAGCTTCTCTGAAATTTGGGATTGTTCAACAATTAATTACTGAAAAACCAAAGTAAATACCAGGATGATATTTTACAGGCGCGTTTTTATTTTGTGCACTACACCACAGGCCACAGTAAACATATCTTTTACTTTTACATAGAAACATTCATCGGATCGGATCGAATTGAAATCTTGGATGTGACTACACTTCTTTCTCTCTCACAATTCTTCGCTTCCTTTTTTTTGCCGCGATCTATTGTTGAAAAAAGTCCGCACTCGAGGGGTTAGAATCCGTGCCATAATAATCGAAAGCGGCGGACTTTTTGCTTCTATGAACAGCAGCAATCAAACGACATTTGCGACGAAGTGCTAATCTACAAGGAAAAATCTGCCATCGTTGTTCACACATGCGTGAATGCACCGTGATCTAATAGCTTGATTCACCATTGTTAAGCTTCCTTGTATATTTAGCGATGTGCTATCCATTTCTATGCAATACTTATTATTTGAAGGGATTATTTACTTATTTAGAAGAAATAAAACTAAATAATTAATAAATTTTATACTATCAACAGCGCTATGATAATTTTTACTACAGGTCAGTATACAAACTTAGATGAACTTAAATCTCCTGTCCTTGTACGCCACCTGACCTGTACGGTAGAGACACTCTTTATAATCACGATCTCTCTTAATCGCATAACCAAATACAAACATTGGTATGACAACCCCAAGGAGGCCAAATCTAACAGTCTTAAATGTTGGCTTGAAGTATTCACGCGAAGTTGCCTTTAATGCATCATACCGTTGCAGACTTGAGTCAAACTGAAACAAACAAAAGGACATAATTAATATTTTAAAAATTTTGCCGATTTCTACGGTTTTGAAAAAGGGAAAATTATAACTAGTAGTATGACCGGTAGGAGCAGATCGAAGCCACTATATTACGGTGGCTTCAGCAGATGCAGTATTTTTTCTCTAAAAAAAAAACATATTTAGACTTTTGCTCTAAAATAATTAGGGGAGCTAGTAATTGACTATAAAGAATTTACCATTGAAATCGCTATGCTGCGTCGCGCAGGGCACACCCTGTATACTGGCCGCCATAAGTACATAACAGTTGCTGTCGAGTCGCCTTTGGAAGTTCAAGTTAAGTACGAGTTCCCATGGAAACAAAAATTCCAAGGGTGACTCGACAGCAATTCATTTTTTAATCGCGTAGTATCATCTTGTCTCTTGCAACTATAATCAAAGAGTAATTGGGTACTCTTTGCTATAATCATCTATACACTGTAATGTAAAAAAGTTGCGCTTAGGTAAAGAAGACTCCTTAATATTTGATGGTAATGGTACTTATAAGTCTATATTATGCTGACCTCGATATAGAGGATCGAAGATTGACGCTTTTGTTTTTTTGTAATTTTTTATTCGGCGGCCATGGGGTTCAAAATATTGAATGTTCGTAGCTTCCTAAAAGCGCATTTTTTCTGCCCATAGAATGTGCGTATTTTATTATGTTGCTAATAATGTGCATGTTATACCTCGTAAAAATAACTCATACTGATAATGTACATCACTAGAATCTAAGATTAATTTTGAAAGTAAGTGCTCTTGATAATTTTTCAAAATGTAGAGCAAAACATTCAGATTGTATTGTTGATGTTTCAATATCAAGGTTTACTTCCCAACTTCGATTAAACAAAGATGTAGGTACCATGAGTGAAAGTTGTGCAGATTCGTAATATTAATAGCCGTTGCAACATTTATATGTTATGTAATTATTACTAATTAAATTAATGTGCTATGTACATTTTGTCCCAATATTTAAAATCCATATCCTTTTCGTGGAGGCGTAAAAAAACAATTCTCAACAATAACGTTAAAACGGAAAAATTAATATAATAAATTAAAATTGGTGACCACTATAAAAAATAATTTATTGCGTGGATTCCACACATCAATGAATTAACATTTAAAGAAAATGTGATCAAGAGGGGACTGGACTGGAGATGAGAAATCTTCAGTTAAAATCAGTTTGCCGGTCGATGTACAATTTACCATGGTGAGTACGATGTATTTTAAAAAATGTTTAAATTAAATTGGGCCATAAAAGTAAACGACAATAAATCAAATGTATTTTTTGTTACCCAATAAAAATTTGCATAATATATTTAAATGGAAACGGTTTTTTACTTGGTGCAAAATTGTATGTGGAAAACACATCTTTAGTACAAATGGACCTTTTAGATTTAAATATCGAATTAGTCAAGAGTGGAAAAGTAAAGATATTTACTACCATCCAATTTACAATAAAAATCGATAAATATAATTAATGAGTATAAATAAAGCCTAGTAGATCATGTGTGGCCAACACGCGGCCCGCAGATCGCTTGCGGCTCGCCTTGTGGCACGTGAAGCTATGGCAACAGCCGTGAGTTTTCTGTACATTTTCTAGAAAGTGTTGGTAGGAAAATGGCAGATTCTCTATCTTTGTGCGAGTTCTGTAACTAGGTACATAAAAATTAACATTTTTAATGAAGGGACAGCATTCCCATCTATCGGTTAATGGTGCTACTAATGTAAAACGTTTAAAATAGATAATATTCAGTCTCTCAAATTAACGATGTCATGGGACGCTTATGATTTCATTTTCGATTGAAAGAGTCTGTGAGAATTGAAGGAATTAATTATTATATTAGTGTCCGTTGCATAGTTGTTTTTTACTAAAAAAAATTTTATTAAAAGGGAGTCTGTAACTAAATACTTCAAATAAATCAATCTCTTATGTGGTTGCAAATGAATTATATAGAATCAAAACTCCTAGTCACTGCAATATTTTTTTTTAATTGTGGTGGTGACGAGGAGTTTGGATTTTATTTAAGTACGTAGCTAAAATCTGTTTACTTCAATTAACAAAAAAAAGTTGTGTGGCGCGGGGGAAAAACTTTTGATATGTGACCTGTCTGCTGAAAAGGTTGGCGACCCATGGCTTAGATGCTTCGTAAAACAATTATGATCCTTAGACATTATTATGCCAAAGTGTTGGGTAAATGTTTATAGAATACGAGATAGAATACATCTAAATACTTAACTAAATAAAAAAAATAAACAGCATAATTTAACAGTAGGCGAAATTTATTAACATAATTCTTTCGATTTTAGTTTCTACAAGCGTTGAGAATCTTCGTTGTAGTATTGTACTTCAAGAATATTACAAGTGAAAAAAATGACACAAAAACGATACATACTCGTCAAACACCGACAAATTTTGATGTAGTACGAACCGAGACAAGGAGGATACCTCTTTTAACAGCGGTACCAAGACTTCTAACCTCTCCGCAAAATTACTTCCAAACAGATGCCTTTGGCCCGCAACAAAGCTTTTCAGCGATACCACAAAAGACAATTCGTATTCAAGCACCTGCAGTAAAATCGAAAGTTCAGATTATAACTTCATTAAGCACAGACGACATATTAGAACTGGAGTGGAGCAATTTCAAGGTAAGTACCGTCCTTAGGTTGAGATGCAAATCGAAACGTGAAAATTTTAGAAAACTTTTCAAAAAAATTACTCAACTCTCACCGAAGACAGGCAACGTAAAGAAATTTTCATAGAAAATCGCAACAAAGTGGCGAAATTTAATCAAGCCTACGGATTTGGTTACCACAGCTTCGTAAAAAAACTGAACGAATATGCAGACATGCTTCACCACGAATTCAACCACCAGTTGAACGGATTTAACAGAACGGACGCACGCGGAAGGTCTGCAGGGAGCGTTCCTTCGGCTTTCATCAGAAGTGAAAACGCTGAAACACCGATTCGTGTAGATTGGAGTGAATTTGGAGCGGTCTCAAGCGTAAAAAGTCAAGGGAAGTGTGGAGCATGCTACGCGTTTGCATCGGTAATTATGAATATGTATTAATTCTACCTATACATTTACCTATGTGTAGGCGGGCGCTTTGGAAGGTCAACATTTTCGAAAAACTGGTCAACTATTAGACCTCAGTGTGCAAAATATTATAGACTGCAGCACTCCCTATTCGAATAACGGGTGTGTGGGAGGAGTAATGGATAAATCATACGAATATATCAAAGATAATAAAGGGGTGGCTACAGAGGCAGCCTACCCTTTTGAAGGTAAAGACGGATTAGAATGTAGATACACACCCGAGAAATATGGAGCACATGCAACAGGTAAGGAGACCTGGTACGAAAGATAATGTTACACTTGAGTTGTAGGTCACGTGGTTATCGATGAAGGTGACGAAAATTCTTTAGAATCGGCGGTGGCACATTTAGGTCCAGTAAGCGTAGCAATTGACGCGAGTCCAGATTCTTTCCAGTTCTATTCCAGCGGAGTCTACTTTGAACCTTCTTGCCAACCGGGTTTGGAAACTTTAAACCACGCCGTACTTGTCGTTGGTTATGGAACTGAACCAAATGGTCAAGATTACTGGTTGATTAAAAATTCCTACGGAGCAGGATGGGGGATCGGAGGATATATGAAAATTGCAAAATTTGCAAATAATCACTGCGGAATTGCGTCTTTCGCTTCTTATCCTTTAGTATAATATTTGTCAATAATTTAAGTAATGTTTCATTCAACAAACCTTTGAGTTATTCTCGATATATAAATAAAAGAACAGTCAAACAAACACAGAAGTTAGTATGTTCAAATTTATACGAAAGGTGTAAAATATTATCCAAATTCATGATCAAGTGAGTAGAATGGATGCGATAACCATTGGTTTAGTCCGTGACATTAACTCTCCTTCTCTGCTCAATTTTCCAGACAAGCCTACATTGGCATCGTATCACCATTGCACAGAACCAACACTTGAAGTAAATGCCAGGGAAATACCTATAAAGAGGAAATATTTAACGTAGTGAGAATTGGAATAAAAAACACTCTAGTTTTAGATACCAGGGTTTATATACCGGGTGGTGCCCAGCGCGACGCAGCATAGGGATTTCAATGGTAATTTCTTTGTAGTCAATTACTAGCTCCCCTAATTATTTTAGAGCAAAACTCTAAATACGTTTCTTTTAGAGAAAAAAATACTGCATCTGTTCATACTATTAATTATAATTTTCCGTTTTTCAAAACCGTAGAAATCGACAAAATAAAAAGGTTCATTTTACAATAAATCAAATATGCCTTTGGAATTTCCTAAAAAAATAGCGATCACGTTTCATTATTTGCCTTTGACGTAAATTTATACTTGTTTATAAATTAGTTAAAGAACTGCAATGCAAGTGAAATAACGTTCAAAATGTCCGTCAAAACCATCAGGAAAACGACAATACATTCAACGTTTTGACTGCAGTAGCGGAAAATCCGAATATAAGTTTAAGAACAAATCTTCTTCAAATCAGTTTTTTTCTTCGATTATGTACTTATGTAGGTACTCTGGTTCGGAAAATGATAAACAAATAGTATCTGATGCAGATGCAGCATACATTCTCTAAAAGAACATTACCCTAAGATTTCTTTTATTGCGTCCGTTAGTTGAAACAGAATTTAATATGAAAATCGTTCGACGTCAAACAACGATAACTAGATGCGATGCGCTTGTAATTTGTTAAAAGATTCCAAAGCATCACTGATTTATATAAATGTAATTTTTTATTTTCTCGATTTCTACGGGTTCGAAAAATGGAAAATTATAACTAAAAGTATGAACAGATGCAGTATTTTTTTCTCTAAAAAAACGTATTTAGACTTCTGCTCTAAAATAATTTGGGGAGCTAGTAATTTACTATAAAGAAATTACCATTGAAATCCATATGTTGCGTTGCGCTAGGCACCACCCTGTATATGTATAGTGAATAAACCGGTAAAAAAAGGGAACAGATAATGCGATTATCCCTATGTTCACTTAAAAAACAGCTCCCAGTAAACACACTTACGTATAAAAAACAGTTTTAAAGCGCTTTGATAGGATAAATTCGGTATTGGTAGTATGGTATACGTTTTTGTTTACTTACACAAATTTTGTACCTACGTTTGAAATAAGATTTTTATTCATGTTTATTTATTACAAAGAGTTCACGTTCTACGTTGATAATACGTATATAAATAACCCTTTTTAGCATTCGTTTGATAAACGTATATAACACCACTTTAATATATGTACACATATAATTCGTATATCCACAGATTTAAATATACTATATTTAAATCTGTGGTATATCAATGAGAAATAATAAACGCATAATATTCCTACAAGAATGTAGCAATATCCTCCGTTTATGCGTATTATATACGTAGGTTTTTAGTCTACAATAAAAGCTTTTTATACGGAACTGTGTTGCATGGGAGATTAATCTATTCCAATAATCAGCAAAAAACAGTGGTGGAGTTAAATGAATAAATCTTGTACTGTGTCAAACAAGTGTAACTAATATTTCACATTAATGATTTCGAGTCACTGTGAGAAATACATTGAATCGATAGTTTGCGAGAGAAAGGAAAAGTGCGCCTTATTGTAATGAGGGGAATGGCCCCTGTGACAGTACCTATATTGGTAAAATTAGTAGAAAGGGGTGTGAGAGACTACGATGCAGTCTAGTGTTTCTGTTGGCAACATCAACAAAAACATGCGCCGATTGCGTGGAGGAAACTCGTTGATGTCAAGCAGTTATTTTATTTAATTTATTGAACTCCTGGCCACCAAACAGTAATATCTCGAGTAATATGCTCACTTTGCTTTTTGCACAAATCCATCCGAGATTCTTACAAATCCCTTTGAAAAGTTGGGTCTAATAAGTTAGAAACTCTGCAACTACCAAGTAAGGTCGGATGTTCGAATCCGAGCTCGGGAAGAAATGGTGGGAAAATGCTGCAAGAGTGAAGATTGCAGTGGCACAGGAACTGAGCAAAGAGGAAGAGCACAAGCGGCCCAGGGAAAAATCTAGAGAACAATGATTAAACCGGATTAAACTATACAGAGGAAGTTAAGTGAGAGAGAAAGGGGTACGAACTGAGAACACCGTTGCGCTAAATTTGACGGGTAGTTTTGCTAAATAAAGAAGTTTATGGTCTTGCGCCTGAAGTTGTTATGCATGCGGTTCCGCAGTAGAGAAGACAAAGTTATTGGCAAGTTATTACAGTGTTGTTTAATTAAAATGCTTGTTAACCTCATCAAACAAGTTATTGCATTATCAAAATTAGGTGTTAAAACAAATGTGAATTTTGGATACTATAACTCGAGCTATAACTAAACTGTGAATGTTTATTTTTCTTGAGATCTCTTGAATTTTTTTTTTCGATTTGTCCGTTTTCCAAACGGGGTGTATTGCTCAAAAAGGCCCTGTTAGCCTTTCATTTTTTTTTACAGATTTTGTTTTTTGTATTACTTTTTATTCTCATAATGTGTGTTCTGATTTCTATTAATCAATTATGTGTCAATTTGAATCCCAATTTGGAATCCAAGTAGAGTTTTATTTTTCTGTCAGATTTTTCTAATTGCGAATGCGATTTCCAATTCAAAATTTGAGTAGCGATTTCATTAGAATTTACGGATTTGATTGACGCCTTCGTAACTTTCAATTTATAATAATTTTAAATCAATGTTGGGATTGTTTTTGTTATAACCCAGTCGTGCCCTGAGAGAAATTTAAAAATACAACGAAACTAAGGTTGTAATTTGAGCTAGCTAGGTACGTGTCTGTTTGGGTGGTATTTTTGACCGTATACCATTACCACTGACTAATATATTAGTCAATGCCATTACGCATAGCCATAATTTTTGGCGCCTAACGTGGGGCCACAACAATATACCGTGCGGCCTCGGATTAACTTATTAACTATGCGTATATATGATCTTGTTTTGATGTTTCAAGCACTTTTTTTCTTCTTGAAATTCAAGATTGCCGTGACAATTGAAAAAAAAAAAATTTTATGTTGAAGTGCGATTGCCATTTCGGTCAATAATACGGCAAACTGATATTAAGAAAAGCTGTTTAGAATATGAAAATATGTCCACATGCAAAATTTCACATACCAACCACAGAAACAAGTATTCTGTGTAAAACGGATTGTTTTAGATGCCACTTTAATTTTAATGACAGGTAATAATAATTCATTTGTTTTATTTACACAGAATACTTGTTTCTGAGATTGCTACAAGAAAACCTGTGCGAGATGGGGGCCCAGACAACTCACGGATGCTGACAAAGAAACCCGGCTTTAAATCAGTCAACAGTTGAAAAATCGATATTCGACAGAAGTTTTTTTTCAAAAGAATTGACTATGACGGAGCCAGCCATCGGCCGGTAAAGTCATGTTTACAGTACTCTGGGATTTTCTTGGCCCAATTTATTGTGATTTTCTTGAAGGCCAAAGAACAATCAACAGCCAGTAATACAGTGGCATAGGAAAAGAAGGTAAAACCTGCCATTCGAACGAAATGCCACGGGCTCACCCCTACAGCCTCGACCTCGCCTCGTCAGACTTCCATCTGTTTGGACCCCTTAAAGAGAGTCTACGAGGGAAACATTTTCAATCCAATGGAGGTCAAAAATCAGGTGAAATAGTAGCTACGAGATCAACCCAAACAATTTTATGCAAAGAGCATTTACAAATTAGCAGAAAGAGGGACAAGGGCATAGTGTTGCTGGCAACTATGTTGAAAAGTAACGAAAATGTTGCACTGATTGAATAAACCATTTTCGAGCAATAATATTTTGCCTCGTTAATTATTGAATGACCCTCGTCGTGGTTGATAGTATTAGAGAAAATTGAAAAAGGGGGAGGACTAATTTTAATTAGGGTGGTCATTAGGGGGTTGCTTGCGCTGATTGTTTCGCTGAAAAAAAGTACTCATACCTTATTTTCATCGTAACTCACTTAATTTTTATGCAAAAATTTGTTTTTAAAAAAAAGAAGAAAGGTTTTTTTTTAAATACTTTCAAGAATATTCTACAAGTTTCTCTCAAAAAATACATAGTTTTGCCATTATTTGACTGTGAAACTCTAATTTAGCGTTTGATGAACAAGAGCCAACCCTCGAACTAACCTTTAACAAGCCACAACTCGGTTCGTATTGGTCATACAGCTATTATTTTAAAACAATTTTCTTTGTTTTTTTAAGCTAGAATTATGTGGCAGAACACTCCAGTTTTTTTTAATAAAATGCATACTTTTAGAGTTTTTCGCGAATAACCAATTACTAGTTATTTAATTATACAAGACGATAAAGGGATATTTTAACCATTGAGTGAAAGATGTTAATTCACGAGATGGTTAGTTTCCCTTTATCGTCGTGTATAATACAACACTTTATTTTATAGCAGAAGGCATATAAATCATTGTAAAGCTTCTGACAATTCTGAATTCAATTTAGAGATTTTTTTTCCATAGAAACAGAATTGTCATATGTTCTAAACGTCATTTTATATCGTACATTTGAAATAAGAATGACAGATGTCATTAAAATGCACAATCATCTGTTTCACCTTTATCTATCATTACGGTTAAAGAACGGCTTAGCCTACTCATTCAAACCTATTAAAATTTCAATTTAACATATGCTATAAAATAATAGCTATTAACATACCTAGGTATGTTAAGGCTAGCATAACAGCCGTAGATGTCAGGTTAAAATCCGAGCGTAGCGAGCAAGAAAAAATTCAAAACTTTACCACCAGCAAGAAATGTTATGGCCGACTGTGTTCTGGGACGCAGAAAAAAGGAGACCTTATTCATTAACTTCCTAGAGGTGGCACTGTGATTACTGCAACATAATGTGGCGAGCTATACCTATATTTCCTAATTTTAGTCAAATATGAATCACTTAATGTAACATAATAAACACATTCGTATCTTAATTGTCCGTAAAACAGGAAGAGAGGAAGAGCGCAATAATAATTTTCCAATGACCACACAAGGTCAACTTAGAGGGTATATAAAAGGTACAAAACACCAACACATTATTTAAACAAGATAGTGATGTGAATTCCTAATATGAAGGTAATAAATTATTAGCAGTTAAACGTAACTACACCGAACAGTAATTGTTTCAGCTTTTCAGTTTTGCTTGCTTACTAATGACATTGGGGATGTGCGAGTTGCAGCGTACAGACCCTCTATCAAAAATACCAAAACTATTAAACCCCATCAGTTTGTTTACGCAGCAATTTGGCGAATTCAAGGTGAACGCACATCACTCGATATACCTACACGTTATTATTATTAACTTAATTGCAGAGTAACTTTAACAAAGGTTATGGTAGTCCCGAAGAAGAAAGAAAACGCTTGGAAATATTTTCAAACAACCATCAGAAACTTTTAGATTTTGAAAAGGCAGGGTCTGCGCCGTTCACGATGAAAATAAATCACTTGGCCGACTTACTGCTGGAGGAATTTAATAGGTACTTGAACGGTTTTAGACCTATCGATAGGTCTAAAACAAAAGGAAGAGGCTTTGTGGCGGGAATGAATCCCACAATTCCAGAGAGTCTGGATTGGCGTGAAAAGGGTGCGGTAACACCCGCAAGGTATCAAGCTCAATGTGCGTCTTGTTATGCATTTGCTAGTGTAAGTTAAAAAATCAATCAAATACTAACGAACGTATACCAAATCGTTATAGGTGGCCGCTATTGAGAGTCACTATTTTCTTAAGAGTGGCAGCTTACAAGCCATCAGCCCACAAAATATTGTCGACTGTTCCAAGGTTGAACCATACGATAATTCTGGGTGTCAACATGGCGCGGTTGATCCATCTTTTGATTACGTTAAGGATAATGGCATTAATTCAGACGAAGTTTATCCATATACCGAAAAAGAAGGCGAATGTAAATTTCGAACAGATGAAAGTGTAACGAGAGTTAGAGGTATGTGATGCGTCCAAGAACATTACTAGCACATTTTTCCAGATTACGTTGTACTCGACGAAGGTGACGAAAAAGGTCTACAGGAAGCGGTTGCGACAAAAGGTCCCGTTGTTGCAGGAATGGATGCAAGCGCCGAATCGTTTCAATTTTATGGAAGTGGAATTTACTACGAACCAAAATGCGGTAACTCAATTGACCGACTAAACCATGCGGTACTAATCGTTGGATATACACCGGACTATTGGATCATCAAAAATTCATATGGTGTACAGTGGGGAGAGAATGGGTACGCGAAAATAAGTCGAAATGTGAGCAACCAATGTGGAATTGCAACTTACGCATTATATCCCGTGGTATAAAGCGAAACACATGTCACAATCCAATTTAACCAAATATGTGATAGTTAATTATAATAAGGTACTTTAATATGTAAATAGGCTAAATTCAGAATAATTTATGGTTCACGAGATTTGTTTACATTTTGCTTTGTTTTTATAGAATGACTAATAAAATAAACAAAAATATTTACGAAATTATCCTAGAGCGATAGCGACAAAGTCCTTAAAAAGTAATGGAACATTTTCCTGATTTAAAGAAGTTTACTTTGTAAACATATTTACTTCTTCTTGGAAGATGAGCATGCAGCAGAGTGTAGCCTAGGGACAAACTGACGGATTTTTCTTACTGCATTTATTTTAGAATGAAACTCTGTCGGAAAAATGTTGTACATTCCTATGTATTGTTTTTCAATTTTCCACGTTCCAAGCTGGAAAAACGGAAATAAAAGATGATGGTCTTTTAGTTATACGATAGAGTTGTAAACTCTGAACGATCACGTTATTCACCATTTCCCTTATCACTGACAAAAGAAACACGATAATTGTTATCAGCCACCTGAGAGACTTAAAATAATAAGGTATGAAGCACAAACTTACAACTGTAACTATAAATATAAGGGCACGTAGAGAAGTCGGGAGAGAAGTAGATGTGGGTTACAGTCAGGTTACAGTATAGGGTAGAGCTTTAGTTAAACTTTTCTGAGAAAGTGAAATAGGTACCTAGGTTTTTGAAAATGTTGTACTTGGGAGTTACTCTGAATATTTCACAATGGTGGCACTAACTACTAAAAGTAGCTACTAACTCCGTTATTTTCAATGACAACCCCTATTATTTATTGCGTTTTTGGATTCTACTGAAATTTCAGCCCTTTTGATACCCACATGTCGTTATCTAGAATTTATGGTTTTTAAGTTATTTTGACTTTTTAAAAAAAAAGCAAATGCACCACCTTGAAAATTTGATTTCTTGAAAACGTTTGTAGTTATCGCAACCCATTTCGACCAGTACATAGAGAAAGAATATGGCTTTCTTTTAATGTACTTAAAAAAATTTAAGTTGCGCACGACGGCAACATTTGAAACGATTTGATAGATGGTCCACCTATTCATGGAATTTAACAACGCAATTGTTCGGGGCAAAAATGACAGGACACTCTTGTAAAACTTTTCGTTCGGCACGTTGGTCGAAACCTAATGGCGCGTTAATTCCTTTAAGGTAGATTGAACTTTTAATTAAAAAGCTATTCTACCTTTGACGATTCACTTTTAATTGTGATTTCGAAATTGAGTTCGTTTCGATTTCGCACTGATCTCGTTATTGAGAATCGTTATCAGAATATTTGTTACATGTGGTAAGTGAAACCATTTTGCTAATTCTTTCCTTATCTTGGGGCATTTTCTTTTTAGACATACGATATCTGACGGTTGAGCCGACGAATTAAATAATTGTTACATCGTTATTCGTATTAATTGATTTCTACGCCCTCTCATTAACTTGAGGTATGTGTGTTTGGGATTTTAAGACGGACGTTTTATGTAGCATTTTTAGGTTTTTTTTTCCTCCGGGTATTTACTGCGGAACAACACCAGCCCCGCTCGAGGGTGTTAAAACTACCAGTATGTTTCCGTGCACAGATATGAATTTAATTGGACGCAAAGCAGTGTCCATCTTATAAGGAAGATAACGATCACGACGCCATTATATTGATTGTACCGACCATCTGGACACTTGGGCCATGAGATAAGCGTTCGAAGAACTGGATTTATCCAACACATTTAACCAGCCAGGGGATACCTTCCTTTACTTCTGTGTGTTATCAGCGTATCCTTAAATACCTCTTATAGAGATAACTTGGTCAGTAATTTATCGTAATTCCTACCGATGAATGATCGACTTAAACGCGGTAATTCCATTGTTATTTTCTACGAGTAGTTGCTACACCGAGCGGATATGTTTTCCATCTTAGACTTACCGCGACAAGTAATATGCATTGGCTCTTCAGGCAGTAATTAGCTAACCATTGAATTAGGTCCGTGGATTTTCTTTTTGGTTACAGGGTCGGACTCGCTACAGGAGAGCGAATTTTATTCAAGGTAAGATTGTTACGTCTACATACATTATTGGTCGTATTTCATTTTGCTTTTGGGAACCCTGTTTATATAGGAAGTCAATTAATTACTAATCGATCCTAGAATCGATCATTCCCAAGTGGGGGTTTGGTTAATTGGGGAATTTAAATTGCACATTTAATCTTAACAAGAGTTTTGAAATGTCAAGTAATTAATAATATTGAATATTTTGGCAATATTTTGTATTTGGGGGTTACGCTGTCCAATTTTGGAGACAATTTTATTTTGCAATTTGATATTGAGAATAAAGGAGTATTTCTTTTGGAATCTGAATTGATTTTTTAATAATAATTATTATTAAATTAATAATTAATTTTATTGTTATTACTTTACTACCCTCGTACCTTCTTAATTTCATACGGGGAGAGTTAAGATAGAAATTGAGTAGCGCTCAAAGTGATAACGAATATTATGTGCTCCTGCTCAGTAGTCGGTAGTTTGCTGTTCGTCTTTGGAAAGAGTCAAACCTCGAGTGGTGCTTAAAAAAAGTTTACAGTGTAACGGGAGCTCCTGTTAAATTTCGTTACGAGTTGGGTTTTTTAGGTAATGCGTATTAGGAGAGATAAAGGGTGGTTTTATTAGAGAGCGGTTTATTCCAAAATGTTCTTATGTCAAAGTTTAAAAAGTGGCGTATGAGAGCCAAGGGCTATTGGGCGAAAACCACAATCAATCGCGTGTAAGACAGTACAAAGTTTTAGTGAGTAACCAAAGAGATTCACATTTTGATTGGCTGGATAGATTCACTAAATCGCGGAAAAGGACCTAGAAAATTACGTATGGAAAAATGCATCATCGGATATCGGTATTCTAACGTGAGAAAGTTTCGTGGCAACGGCAACAAAATACTTCGCGATTTTTCGGTGCTATTAATAAACAGCACATTTCTCCCCGAACAACTAACTCCTCACTAATTTTCTTTGAGTGGCACTCATTCCGGGACGCACACCGTTTCCACTAACAAAATCAACTTGTTCATACGATCAGGTCGCTTGACATCCACAAATTGACTCAACGTGGAACTACGCTACGTATATTTCGACACAATTTACCGTCTTGTATAATAAATAACTATTATTATACAAGACGATAAAGGCATATTTTAACCATTGAGTGAATTAACATTCACAAGATGGTTGGTCTACCTTTACCGTCGATATAATACAAAACTTTATTTTGCTTCTGAAAATTTAATTTACACGTCAAAAATAGTACGCTTAAGTTCTGTTCCAGCGGTCGTTTCCATAGAAACGGCATTGTACTATGTACTATATTATGAACTTCATTTTATTTCGTGCTCCATGTCCCACTTGAAATAAAAAATGATCAAAGTCCTCGTGTGAGATCGAAGGGACTTCAGCGCATTTTTGTGTGGCAGATCAGTGTTTTATTAGCCAATATTGACTCCACCATCAATAAGATCTTGCCGAAAGCTACCACGTTCACTTTGTCGGTACCATTTTCTCACTTACCGTGCACTCGCAATTCGCGTTTGAAGTTTTGACTCCACCATCAGTAAGATCTCGTCGGGGGTTACCATATTCCCTTTGTCGACACCCACTTCTGATCACCCGCAACAATTCGGATTTGAAGTTTCGACTCCACCATCAGTAAGATCTCGTCGGGGGTTACCACATTCCCTTTGTCGATACACAGTTCCGACGTCCCGTTCATTCGTAATTCACATTTTGGTAGATTTCGCTAAAATCCCGGCATAAAATCGTATTCAACTTTTGGGTACTTCACATAGCTCGACCTTCTATTAGTGACACGAGAAAGAGAGACCGCGATTCGCGCTGTAAGAAACTTTTGGGCGCCCAAAGTCGACTACCCCTCGAAGCGCGCCGCGCAAAAGGTGTTTTATTTCGCCCCTAGGAAAAAAAACAAAATTCCGCCACGCAGGAGTTGTGCGCGTTGACAAGATCTTCCCGACGACACCAATTTGAAAATAATCGGAGAAAAACTGTAGAAGAAGATAGATAAAAACTGAAAAATCTCCAGGTTAGTATAATACGCTCGGGGATGGCGTCCAGATGTCGTCGACTCCAAATCTTGTAGCCCCATCCCTAACGTTCTTAATTACACGGCCCCGATAGTTACATGTACACTCCTTGTCTTTTTACAAGCGTTTTTCTACGGGCGCGCATTTACTGCCAGCCAGCCAGCCAGCCAGCCGACCAGCCAGCCAGCCAGCCAAAGTGAGATTAAAAGCTACTTTTTACAAAAAAATTTTTTGCAAAAATGCGCTAAAAATGATGGCATTAGAGTGCACAATCACTTTATCTAGCCTTACTGTTAAAGACTGTTTTAAATGATTAGTCAATTGTAATCGTATAACAACCGACCAATATCCTGAAATTGCGTACAAGTGTGTCAAATTTCGAGTAAACGTAGTAAATATATGCAAATGAGAAGTAGATGTGCTAAAATATAGTAAATGTAAATATGGATGTTAAGGTTTTTCTAAGTGGCACCATTTTACTTACGGTACCCCTCTAAATTTAATCACATTGCCCATAGCCTACACACCTAAGAAAATTGTCAACCATAGAGTTATTACCTCAGTTATTACCTATTTCATATATTACATGACGGCTGGAAGTTTGTAATAGTTATTAAGTGTTCAACTAATGGTACCCCACAGAGATGAAATTTAAAACACCTGTGTTGTATTTAAATAGACATAAATCATATCGTGAATCATAGTGAGCCCCACGGGTTTACTACCAGAATACATTAGGTATTGCTAAACACAATTTTCTAATTTAATTGTTAGAGCGAGAGAGGACAAAGTACATTATGAAATTTAATTAAGATTTTAAAACTCAAGGTTCCTAGGGGAGAATTAGGAAACCGTCGATTGTCCGCTTGATACAATAGTATGCATTATACTTCCTTCTCGATTTCATGTTCCATTAAACAATGTACAAGTCATTTAGAGAGTATCCTTACAAACATTTACTTTACTTTGGTAATAATATTAATAGTTATTGCATAATTATTTACATACATAATTGATTAAAAAAAATATATAATTCAAAATACATAGTTGGCGACGCAACCCGCTC